GTATTAGCTGTGAAAAGTTAGGGATGTATATTTCTTGTTATTTTGAAGTAGTGTACAGCTGTAGGATGTACATTTTATTTTATTGTGAAATACTCAATTTGAGTTGACATACAAACCATGAAAATAAAATGTTCAGCAAAATATTGTGGAAAAACTCTCCTTTGCTGCCTTTCTCCCCTCAATTGATTTCAACAAAATTATGAACATTATACCCAGGCAAAAGTGACCATAAACTACCATGGTCAATGATGGTAGTTAAATGGCACAAACTACCATGGTCATCAAACATGGTTGAATTGGCACCAACTGCATTGACCATGTAATTCAATATTCACCACTGAGGGCGCCATCACATTCTCAATACCATCAGTGTTTGAATCCTTACAGCTACCGGTAGTGTGTATCAAAAATGAATAAGCAGGGTAATCTATTACATACAATGCATAGATGGCAACCATCCAAGCATTGACTTCAGATGTATTTTCTTTGATTATATATACATGTATTGCGCATCTATCACAAAGGGTTGCATGTTAGCAAATTGTTGTTGCAATGTTGAATTTTACCTTTAACACTACCCTAAATCAAACTGACCCACTGCAGCATCATTCCTGTGAAAACTTGCTTACTTCAAACTTCATGAATTACTACCGTAAAACATTACAATTGTGCCATGTTCAGCATAAAGTACACAAACCGAAAAAAAACTAAAGACACTCGTTCATTATATTATATGGTTGGAGTTTATTCATTATCAAAATTAATTTCAAAAGTGAAAAAAAAAATGACATAAATCTGGATCCTGATATGAACTCCAATGATCCAGGTATAGTACCACAGTAAATAGAAACGTCAGCCTGAGAAAACACACACACACCTGTAAAATTCCCCAGAAATATTATTTTAAAAAAAATTACAATATATATAATATATCCTAATAGAGAACCTGGAACCACTTGCACTAGTTGAAGGTTGGCTTTAAAAAAAAAATACTATCTAAAGCTTAATATTCTATTACATTCCACAAATCTTGCAGGTTTGATTTTGTAGAATTTTCAACAAGGTACTGTAATTACTATTTGAAGTGCTTATAAACAAAAATAATTAGCTTTGCATAGTACAAGCATTTTATGACAGTACATTTTATAAAGCACTTCCTGCCCTGCCACTTCGCTCAATCTCTTGAAATCAGGTTTCTCACATACTTGTACTAAAAGGCGATCAAAGGTGCAGTTCCAGGCAAATGTACATGTAGTTCAAATTAACCAAATTAATTTGTCGACTTTAGACCAGTCACCAAATTCTTGCATTTTAATCCATAATAGTACGGGATCTCATAGAAAAACATTTGAAGGGAGGATATAGTCATCCTCAAATTGACATGCCAAAAAAAACAATAAAAGACGTGTTTTCTTTAATTTACATATTAATTAGTATATATTTGCCTGAATCTGCCTAATGTACCAGCAGATAGTTCCAACTACCAAAGACAAGCCACACGTATATACAATGCTACTGGAAATTGGAACTAAAATGTGGCAAGGGATACAAGTATTATCACTATCAAAAGTACGACCTTTACTATGCTACCGATATTTGGATGTACAGGGTATATAGCTTATGGACAAAACAAAGATACAACGAAAAACTGACAGCCCCATTTGTAAAAAAGGTGTAAAAAAAGTTTTTATACTATCAGCTATTGCTTTTCAATCAATTATTGACGGCATATATCTTTCAAAGCAAGAAATTCCACTCTCCCAGCAAAAATGTTCAAACTTGTGTAATATCAGGTTATGATAAAATGAATGCAAGAAAAAATGTACATATCATGTGCTTGCAGCATAAAAAACTTTTGAACAAATAAATTGCCGAGAAAGAGGCTACTTTCAAACACCCCTAGCTTTATTATTATTATTAAAAGGCACCCTTATCATAATTGGAATAGGTTGTAAAATTTCTCACAAAGAGGGCCACTCTAACACCCTAAGTAAATATTAAAAATGTAATAATCAACAAACAATCCCAGAATGGGTTTCCAGTACAATCACAAAGTACAAATAATATTTCAGAAAATTCTGTAAAATAAAATTTCATTACGAAAACAAATATAAAGTCAATTGCTTGTGATTCAGTGATAAATGAAATTTTCAAAAATATACAATAAACAAGCAGTGCTATGTAACCAATATCATGAGGTTCACAATCTAATTTCAAACCAAGTGCACTAAAATATAACAGACCATCAAAAAAAACACAAAAAAATACATCAAGCTTCCACAAAGTATTGATTGATTCAGTCAAAGTTTTGAGAAAACTATTTTTTGAGAATAAACAAAATTAACAAATATCTGTAGATGCAAATTTGGATGAATATCTGCATACAAATGCAAAATATGATAAATACATATATTTTTAAAATAGGGTATTAGTGGTGATGGTTAAAGAGATTTAACGTAAATGTTTAAGATCATTCATTCACTTAGGGTGTCTGAAGTATACATATATGCAAATGAGAGAAATTAAAACTGTGAACCACAATATTTTTTAACTAATAGCTTTGAACGGGGAAATATGCATATTGAGATCATTAAATGAAACAATTTTCCTTCAAAGTGCTTGAGGGCAGTGTAACCCAAAAAACTTAATCACTTCTCTTGTGACAGAGCCAAGTGTTGAAAAACATGTCATGTCCATAGCTCACTGACAATATTTAAAATTCAAAAAGAATGCGCAGCTTAAATTGTTTTAGCATGCAAGAAAATGTACTCGTGTAAGAGTCTAGTTTAGCTTCTGTTGTAATTATAGCTTTGGTTGCATAAGCTATGTACATTTACCATTTGTACACCATGCCCCAGTTGCAAGAAAACCTGACTATGTCACGCCACTTATTTGCAAAGTCAGCGTGATCAACGTTGTTTACAAGTACTCAGTGTACAAGGCACATGTTAAATTTTTTGCATCGTTTGGAATTTTGAAAAATTCCCCAGACAATCATCAAACCAAAACATAATGCATATATAGAAATAACAAAAAAAGTTCAATTTACCAACACTCCAAATTGCATATCAAGCATAAACCAAGTTAAATAGGAAAAAAAAAACATTGATTTAATTCCATTGACTGCAGTCACTTAGGTAAAATAATTGTTCTTGCATAGAATTACAAACAATAACTATTAATTTAATATGCTAAGCAGATTCAGTAATTTGCATAGATAATTATTCTGATGTACACTGTACCATTTCTTTTCAAATTCACAAGCCTGTTGGTCTGTTTATGCCACTTTCTTTATAAAAGGAGACGAGGTACATTTTAAGTTAATGCCACCACAAAGTGGAATATTTTGCATTGATTCTGTAAGTCTTAAGCAGTCTATACACAACAAAAATCATGCCTTCACAAAAAAAAAAAAAAATATTTACATAAATCTTGCATATTTAAAGTGCATTGTAATCAACATATGTGCATATATTATCATTTATTAACATTATTGCTACATCTACTCAAGATGTAAAACCAGCTCACTATATTGCTATATAATTTTTCTTTCCCTTGACAATAATTAACTCAGTTCAATTGTACTGAATAAGAAAAGTATTAAAATACGATGTGTGTTTCTTTTACTTCAATTGGTAATCCAAGCTGCAGAAACACCCTTAGGGTGAATACCAGGTTACGTTTAACAAAAGAATGAAATAAATAAGTGTTTGTTTGTGTTTTTCAAGTAAAAATCACCGAACTGAGAAGGCACAGTATGCAGATGAGGAGAGATGGGTTTCTTTCAAGGAAGAAACCATTCTGCAATAGGTGAGGCAGACCATGAAAAAAGTAAACGCAGAAGTGAGGCTGCTACATGAGGAAGCATGCAGCACTAAAAAGCATACTTTTTATATGACAGAGCTGATAAATGTAAAGCTGTCAAACTGATTACCAATTTTCCTCTTCTGCATATTGTGAATTGCCAGAAAATAAATTAGAATAAAAAAAAAATGTTTTTTAACATGTCTAGTTAACCACCAATACATATCGGTATCAGACAAACTGTGGATTATGTATATGGTGACCTACGACACAGTGAGCCAACATACGGGTAAAGCAAAATCTTAATTTACACATATACAAGTTAGGGGGGTGTCGGAAAACAACCAAAACAAAATTGTCTGTTTATTCCTGAGCCACCATTGGTGAAACTATCCCTAATCCATACAAATTTAGGTTGAGGTCGGCTTATATTTATAATTTTATTATTTCATAATCCCTGTACATTTGTTATTGTAGTGTAATTATTAATTGAAATTCAACAAAATCCTAATATTTGCCAATACTGGAGATCAATCACGTCACCATAACAAAATCCACCTTTTATCCAATGCATTGCGATATTCTGATTTTATAATTCCTAAACATTTAATTCTGTGTCAGTGAGACAAGATAAATCGTAAAACGTTATAACGTTTGCTTTTGCATAATTCAGGTTAAAGTGGAACAAATTATTACATCAAAATGGTATACAATATATACAGATATGGGCATGGCTACCGTTATTCTACTTCTTAGTTCAGTATATACTTCCCATAAGTGTACCGGTACTTGTAATACATACTGTAAAGTTTCCGGCAGGCTGGCTATTCCATACCAAGCAACTTAGCCGCAGAAGCTGCCGAGTCTGCAGAATCCAACATCTGGTCTATAACTGAAGAATCGTGTATTCCAAGAAGATTCTGGATGATATCTGAATTGTCCATACATGAAGCAATGACCTCGTCACCTGGCGTAAACATATCAGGCTCTGAACTTTCTTTCATTAACATAGAACGGTCGTCTTCTGCAGATGTCATGTACACCTCAGAGTCGGCTTCAATTGTATCATTAGCGCCCCAAGGCATTTTTTTTTCACAGCATTTGGGTGATGCCGGGGGTGCTTCTGGATTCACCACAACCACACCAGGATCAAGTCCCTCAACAGATGAATGTGATGCACCCTGTGTCGCCTCTTTTCCAGTTGTTTCATTCTTTTCTAACGGTTTTCTCTTTCTTCTCAGCCGCTTGTGAGTTTGAGCAGCATCTTCTTCACTAGGCTCTTCCACAGATGTATTAGCCTTAGTTTTTGAATCTTTCTCATCATTCTCATCCTGATGAACACGCATGTGTCGCATTAGACTGTGTTTCAGTGAAAAGGAACGATCACACTGCTCACAGGCAAATGGCTTTTCATGTGAGTGCGTTCTGAGGTGACGCTGCAACTCTTGCTTGGACCAAAACCGTTTCTGACAGATTTCACACTTCTTCTTTCTCTGGTGATAGTTTTCCGGTATTTTACAACTGTTTCCTTTGTTGTCAAATTTCACCTCAACAAAGCTAAGAGTGTTGCTCTGTACATCTGGCTCATTTGGCTCCATTTCCACAACAGGATCAGCACTAACGACCGGTGTTGCTGTATTACTAACTGCCTTTTCATTGCTATCTTCATCCGACAGAGTTTCATGAATGTACAAAACGTCCTCTTTATTTTTGCTATGAATCTTCATAATATGACGTTGACAGTTAAACTTGGTGGTGAATCGAGCGTTACAGTCAGTACACTTAAACGGATGGGCCAGAGTATGTATACGCATATGTCTGGTTAGTGTAGTGGCATATTTGAATTGCTTAGAACATATATCGCAAGCAATTCTTTCACTAGCTCTTCTGCCTCTCTTCTTTGGTGATGACGAGGATGAGGCATTACTGGAGTTCAGATCATCTTCATCATCATCTTCGTCCTCGTCTTCAGCATCATTTATGATCTCAGTACATTTGTTGATTTCAGCAGCACCAGTTTTTCTTTTTGTTTCTTGGCTAGCAACTTTGATGAAAGTTGTTTTTGATACATCAGCAGGAGTTTCATTGACATCCTCATTGTCTTGAGATTCGTCAAGAACTTCATTGCACTGTAAGCTATCCTCGTTTGCTGGTACAGCTTTCGCCATCACTTCAGAGTTAGTTTTAGAAAGTTCTTGGCTCAGTGCTACAAAGTCGGTTTCTTTTAAAGAGTCGTCAAGTCCGTTGTTTTCAAAGTTTACAAAATCAGTGCCCGAAATGATCACAGGAGCTTCTTCTGGTTGGATGTCTTCAATGCCTTCGTATTCTGGTATGGAAGCACCGGGATGTTTCATCATGTAATGTCTACGTAGGCGTTGTCTGGTAGAAAACGAACTGCTCATGCACATGTGGCACTTGAATGGACGTTCAGTCAGTCTGCGAAAGTTGATGTCAGCAGCGTTGTTATTACAGTGTTTTCGTAACATATGCCTCTCACAATTTGACTTGGTAGAAAAGTAAACACCACATTGTGGACATCGGAACGGCTTGACACCAGTATGTGTTAATATATGTCGTCTCAGAGAACTAATCCATGGGAATGTACGGGGACAATATGGGCAAGACAACTTCTGATTGATGCTTGGGAAGGAGTTTCGTCTCAATTTTGCAGAAACTCTAGATTTTGTATGAGTTGTTGGTTCACTCATTGATTTATCATCAATCACCATGGCACCTTCATCATCTCCATCCTCATCTTCCTCCTTGCACTCAACTACTGCTTTGCTTTTCAGAAATGTTTCAAAATTATTACAGTTGGTTGCTGCTGCTAGCATTCGCGAGACACTTGCCAGATCACCGCTCGAGTCTGACCCCATGCTGTTGCTTGGTGACTTGTGAGTGGTTGATCTCTTTCGAGAATTCTTCTTAAATATGGTGGTAACAGGAACAGCTTTAACAGGCGATTCTTGCACTCTGTTTTGTGATCTGGAAGTGGCTTTAGGGGCTAGCTTGGCAGCTTTGGTTAGTAGCTTATGTTGGGCTGGATAAATAATGGTCGGGAGAAAAGTTTTGTGGTCCTGTTTGTTGACTTCTTGGTGACGCTTCTCCATGTGTTTTTCAAGGTTTTCTTTGAGAGTGAAAGCAGCTGAACAGTGGTAGCAACGGAATGGTCTCTCACTGCTGTGTGTTCTTAAGTGTTCTTTAAATAAGCATCCTTTGTTGAACTGCAGGTTGCAGTGAGGACAGTCTAAGGCATCAGACTCGGCATTGAAGTAGCGATGATAAATCGGCCTGAAACGAAATTTTCTGGCATCTTCCACACCACTATTTATTTCATCATTATCACCCGTGTTTGCTTTCTTTGTTACTGAAAGGTCCATCGGTTCAGGATCAACACCATTAGATTCAACCATATCATCCTCACTGAAGTCGGCAGTGCTACCGTATTTGATGCTAAAATCAACAGCTTCACCAAACTCTTCTTTTACAATTGTTCCCGAATCTGACTCAGATGCGGACTTTTCCAACTCTGAAGCAATGTTGGTCCATTTTAGAGGTGCATGAAACATCACTGCGGCTTCAACCTCGACCTGCGAGAGATTAGCGTGGCGCTTCAGAATGTGTCGTATGCAATTATTTTTTGTTGAGAATCCATTGTCGCATATTTTACAGTGGAATGGTTTTTCACGGCAACTGCTGTGCGAGCGCAGATGGTGACGTAGAGCCCGAAAGAACTTGAAGTCTTTATTGCAGTATTTACAGATGGTATCTGGAGAACGGAACGTTTCAGTACTTTCTGATGAGTCAGCTAAGTAATGATTGTACGAGATGCATACGTCAATTTCAGCCTTCGTTGCCTTGTTGTGCTTCTTCTTTACATGGCGTTCACAGTTTGCCTTGGTGGTGAACGCGAACTCACAGATCTGACACATGAATGGCCGTTCACCGTTATGCGTTCTCATGTGTCGAATAAGGGTACTTTTGTCTGCACTGGAATAGTTACACATGGAACACTTGTACGGTGTCAATCCAAAATGGCTTCTAATGTGACTTTTCAACGCCCTACTGAGTGGAAATACCTCTTTGCAGTATTTGCAGGCATACTTCTTTGTTTTCTTTAATGATTTTTTGATGTTGGTGTCAAAAGTGATGATGTCATCAGACTCGTCTCCATCGCTACTGTGCAGTCTCAGATCTTCCGGTGTCACACTCTGGGCCATCATATTCTCCGGCGTCATGATGAGAGGAGATAACAATTCTGGTTGATGATGAATCTCTTGCTTGATATGGATGTTGTTTAGTTGTCCACACTTTAGCGGAGGTGGAGGAGGCGGTGGTACATTGCAGACTATGGGGCGTGGCATGATCGGTTGTTGTGGCATTCTACGCAGTGGCGGCATAGGTCGGTTTGTCGAATTTGACATCACAGTTGTGGCTGCTGACTGAGTCGGATACATAGGATTAGATGAGCTTGACGTGACCTTTAAGATTTGTTGTACATCGGCGAAATCATTTTCGTTTTCCATTCGAGGCTTGGGTGCAATACTGACAGGTGATTTGACCATGTTGAGTTTCACGGTACTCCGCGGCGGAACTTCTGTTTTTACTATGGTTGCAGGTACAGCTGCTTGGTAAGTCGTACCATTACCATTTGCAGTAGCTGGTTTTCTGATGATAATGATGTACTGGTTGGACTTGATTGCTGGGTCTTTATTTTCGATAGTTTCATCTAGTTTCTTATGTGGATTTAGCTTAAGAGCCGACATGAAATCATGCTGTGACAGTATTTTTTTATTACCTTCCCCATCATCGGAGGTATCTGCTTTAATTGTACCATGTGAACTAACATGTAAATTCAAGGCACTGACACAAGGGAATGCTTTGTTGCATGTACGGCAGACATGTTGATGCAAAGAGCTGCTGCATCTCCTCACGTGCTTCTCGCACCACGACTTTGCTATAAGTGGGAATTTTGTGGAGGAAAACTCAGCAAATCCAAGATCTTGAAAGCCAACTGGAATGTGAGCCGGTCCAGATGGCTGCACGCCAGTTTTTCTACTTTTGTGTGCCATTAGTATGTGCATTCGTAGACCACGTGGTGTCTTAAAGGCACAGTCGCAGATTGTACATCTCTGGGCAATGGTTGGATGCATCTCCTGGTGGGTTTGTAGACCGTATTTACAAAGGAATGTTTTGCTACAAATTGGACAACTCAGCTCTTCTTTGCTATCTATATCTTTCATTTCTTTATCAGTCTCTGGTTTGATCTCTCCATCCATGGGTTCAAGTTTTACTTTTGGTGGCGAAGGCGGGATCTCCATCAGTCGGCGTCTCTTACTCTTCAGTTTAAGCCTCGGAACACTGTAATCATTAGCGATCGTCACACTGTTCATTTTACTGTCCTTTTCATGGATGCGCATATGTCTATACATGTTACCGTTGGTGGTGAAAGCCTGGCGACAGATCTTGCATTTGAATGGACGTTCGCCCGAGTGCACAAGCATGTGACGATCCAACGAACTAGCGGAGCTGAGTTTTTTACTACATATCTTGCAGTTGTGGCAGTCCATGGCGTTGTGTTTTCTGATATGGAGGGTGAATTCATGGGCACTTTCTGTTACCTTGTGACATATCTGGCAGGTAAACATGCCTTTGTCTGATTCATCAATTTCTCCTGGAGCAGGTGGTTTACTCTGTAAAGATAGCACAAAAAAACAAAGATTTATTAAAAAAAAAAAAAAAAAACATTTGTATGATATAATAGTAATCCTGGTTTGTATAGTCTTCATAAGATGCACCATGCATTCCATACGCTGCCAAGTATTAATTAAAAAGTACACTTGAGTGCTACAATTTTAAAATTATAAATAGATCTCATATTGTAACTTCATTATTAAAGTCTAACATGGGGATACTCCCATGGTGGTGCATCTCACTAAATAATTACGTATTATGTATTCTATGTATTTTTCTATATTTTTTGGGTTCGATCACTCATGATTTTTTTTATTGCCTACAAGTCTTGAAGAACAATTTTTGAAAAATTATGAAAAAATTGTTATGGTGAAATTTTTTGGGGAAAAAATGTTGTGAGAGGTGATGTTAGGTGACTTTTACTGTGGAAACGAAGACAAAATATTGACACATTGAATGGAACGCAAAAAATGAGGGCAGTGTCAAACAACTAAATATAGAAATGTAGTTTTATTTTGAACAAATTCAAATCAAATAATAGATAAACATCAAATTCAAAGATTTGTTTAAAATTCTAATGTACAAAAGGACAAGACAATTTTGATGATTTTTTTGAAAAATGCTGAAATTTGGTTAGTTTATAGAACTGTGTGCGATTTATATAAAAATCAGAATTTTTTTTCTTATAAAGTTAACTTTCTCACCATCACATTATTTCTCATGTCATAATGAGAGTGCCATTTTTTGATATTTTCTGTAATTTTCTCTCACGTCAGTGTTAATATTAGATCAAACAAATTAATATTACCTTATAGATACTATAGAATCATTCAATTTCACGTTTTATTTTGCAATGTGGCACAATTTTGCACTTTAATCTGGTTTGATTTTTTTAAGTTTACTAAACACTACTTTGTGTGGAAGGTAACAAAAGTTGACAAATGGCAGTGAAAGGGTTTAATCAATATACCTAAAACTAACAAGACATTCTGTTAAGGGTATACAAGTACAAAAAAGCACTTGGAACTTAAATGTTGTTTACCTTTTTTCTCCTTTTCCCATATCGGTTTCCACTGTATCCTTTTCTCCGCTTACGTATTTTAGTAACGTCCCAGTCTTCATCACTATCTTCCAGTTGTGCGTCATCATCATTGTGTCTGGCTTTCTTCTTTCGGAAGCCTTTACCCATTGGTGTATTGGCATTAAAGGGTTCTTGAGAATTATTGAAGGCATTACTGGTTTCCATGGTAACCAATGCAGTCTCATCCTGGCTGGAATCTAAGCCAAATTGAGAACCCTCGCTACCACTGTAACTATTACCGAAACTGTTTTGCATAGAACAATTGCTTTCCGAGTTAGCATCCCAGACTTCGTAACGTCCATCCTCCGGCAGACCCTGTGACTCAACATCACTACTCATCAAATCAGATACAGATACAGTTTTCTTTTTTCCTCCATCTCCACCGGCGGAAACTTTGCTCTCCCCGCCGTGAGCGATGTTCACTGCTGCTACAGCTTTCTTGGGACTGGCTAGTTTTCTCAGATGTTCTTGTATCCTTGCATCTTTATTTGTATCAATGTTTAGAGCACTATCCATCATCACATCACCTCCCGTGCTTTCCATCACCATAGTGACATTCTCTGTTATCTTTGCCTCATCATCACCGGCTCCAACTAAGAAAAAAAAAAAAAAAAAAAAAAACAGCAATCAATATATGTAATTATGACAAGACATCTAAAAAGGTTTTACTAAAAAAATTCATTTTTGAGGATCATAAATTTTTATGATCAGATATAAAAATTGATATTTCATGAAAGTGGTAACTTCACATGTGTGATTTGTCAGAAAGATTACAGGCATGGTATGGTAATAGGATGTTGTCACAATTAAAGAGAAGGCAAATCATAGCCAAAATATGGTATTTTGTTGCCCTACATATAGCCATCTTTGTTTTGTCTATTTAGTAATTGAAACATAACAATTTATGAAATTACAATTACAAATGGATCGTTATGACAACAGTATATCCACATTTATGTATACCTGTCATCGTAAATTAAAAACAATTATGCAGATGCAGAGTCTGACCCCACTCAGCGAATGATACATCATTTGGACCTAAAGATATCATTTATGGAACTAAACGTGTCATAATGCGATATTTTATCCACGATGATTGAAATGGGGCGGCTGGTTGGACCGACTTGACATAATGACTACCATCAAATTTTATAGCAGACCGAGAGAGGATGTTGAGTACCATGGCAACCAATGTCAGCTGCTTTCATTTTATCTATTAATAATGCTCCTGATGAGGTTAAGGTATTTTTTTCTTTCTCCCACGCTATTGTTTACTCTAAAAATTAAACCTGTTCACTTCCCTTATCAACATCGCCCTGATCATACTTGTTTTTTAGCCCCCCCCCCTCACACACACATCCATCCACCTGTCATGTATATATACTATATATACACACACATCCTTATTACCATGGCAACAAGGATAAATATCGAGACCAAGCAAGAACCAACAATTACCCAACACTGCCCCAACAGCTGTTACATTCTATCATTTTGTTCCAATTCCATCAGAAATCGAACTTCAGACTGTAATATTTATTTTTTATTTATTTTTTTTTCATTCATGATTAGGCATTCCATTCTTGTTCAAACATAAATGGCTGTTGCACATAATCCATAATTTCAATTTGTTTGAAATTTAATTTGTCTGAATGCATGCAGCATTGTCATTTCTTACACTTGAACTTAAAGCGATTGTATCTGAAGAATGCATGGAATGGCAGTTTAGCAATGGAGGAATGTAAGTATAAAAAAATAACATGGGATATTTCACTTTATGATGTATAAATAAATAAACATCACAGTCCAATTACCACGGCAACCAGAAAGACCGCCATTGTCTGATGCTGCTCCTTGGTATCAATTAGAAAATTAAAATTTCAGCAGATGATCATCTTTCACTGTGTTGAAGCAAAAATAATTTGCACATCAGAGAAAAAAATGTTTTAACCATTCATAAATTAACTTGTAATGCAGCGATAGAAAAGCAAACACAATTTAAGCAATATGGCAGTACTTTACAGTGAGATATATGGAGGTTACTCTAGCACATTGGAAACTCTACTATGTGTGATAAATTTAGAAATACCAAAGCCACTCTCAAGTATTTATAGAAATATAATGCTCTGCGGTATGATACATATCAATTATCATCATTATCATTATGACATCATTATTATTATCAATTTTGTATCATCAAATTAATTACTCCATGGGAAAAGATTTTCTTTAGCTTGTCTCAAAACGCATCTTTTTTTTAGCACTTTACATATGTCGTAAAGGAGTCAAATTAATTTAAATTAAAAATTGCTATAAATTTGAAATGATTTCAATTCATTTCTTTATAGCAACAGTTTAAGTAAAACGATAAAAAGCTCAGCCTGGAAGGCAAGACACAACCGACCATTTGTATAAGGACACGTTTTAAGTTGCACTCGGCCATCTGTTGGAAGGTGGGGCTGTGCGACATCTTATTAATTTGTCATGGTTGTACCTGATTATACACACAAAGCAGGAACGACATATTCTTTTATTGTAACAAGTCTAAAGTCTGTTTCTGGCATGCTTCCACGGTTACGGCACCACAGTTGTGCAATGTGCTCTACTTATCATCTGAAGTTATCAGAGTCTTGTAGTTTTGAGTCGTAAATTAGATTGAAAGGTTGCAAAATATGAAATGTATTTAAAAAAAAAAAAATCAATGATCGCAACTGCTGAGGTTAAGATCTGAATAATGAAAAGAAGAATTAAAATATATATGAAAACTATAACAACTAACAGAAAAAACATTATTTTCGCTTGCTTAATATTAATTATAGCAGGTGCAATCTTTAGATATTTTCTACAACATTCCCCAAAACTAAAATAAAAAAAAGAAACAACCGTATATAATAGTAAATTGAGAAAACATGCCTATATAGAAAATTAGTAGAAGAGAAACTGAAACAAAGAATGTATATAGAAATATTAGATATTGTAATGTAGCCGACATCATGCAGGAAGATGGGGAACCCAAACACAGGATACAGACTCTGCTCTATATCCAGCCCCAGCCATCAACAGCCTTGACTCCAGGTTCAGATCTCAAAACCTGCCACAGCAGAGATGCTATAAGTGAAAACATTCCTAGACATGACAAGCATGTGCAGAATGCCACAACACAGTGATGCAGAAAGAAAAGCCAGTCTCCTCCATCAGTTTCATGCTCTTTATATAAATATATACATTTCTCTTAAACACACACACACACACACATAAAATAACTTGATTCAAGTATTGAATTATAGCTCCATCATTTTTTTCCTTCTTCCTGTCTTCTCAAAAAATCTTTAAAAGCAGGAGTTTTCACAATTTTGCAATTACAAAAATGAAAAAAAAAATGCATAGATTAACTGGATGTAAACCTGTCCAAGCCTCGTGAAGAGCTTACCATCTGTATAACTAAATACTGGTATAGATTCAACTAAAAAGCATTTTTATCAAGACTTTGATAAACCAATCAGCGGCAATTTATCCACTATGCTATCCCTACCATACATTATTTGACCGCTATCCTAAGGGCTGGAAATTGCAGCCATTCCATACTCACTGCGATTCCCCCATAGTGATGCTGTTGTCATCTTCTTCATCCATCTCCTCATACCAACTGAACTGAGGTGATCACATGACTTGGCAATATGCAAATGAGAGACTACAGTTATGGTTGCTATGTTTAGAAAAAAATGATGGGGCACAGGCAAGTTTTATAGTGTCTATGCTCTCGCCTCTATTCTTCTATAAACCAACTCAATTATTCATATTTTTAATCAATATTCGGCTTTCTCTGACATCTATTCACTCTAGAATATCACTACTCCGAGAAATCAAAAAAAAAAAATGTATACAAGTTTTTTTGTTTTTTTTATTTTCAAATTGTTTACTGACAGGTTTTTTTAAGAAGGAACAAATATTTTTGAAAAAAAATTATTAATAGAATGAGGTATTTAATTCAATTAACATTCAACAGCAAAATCCAGCCCCTGCCCATTTATTAATTTGTCTCGTATTCGGGCTTTATTGGTATTTCTCATTTAGTCAGAGAGCTCCTCTAATTGTGGTTAAATTTATATCAACAATTTCATTATTCTACACTGCTCTGTTGTGATTAGCAATGGGAAATGACAAGTCAAAAATGATGGCTAACACTACTTAGAGCATTCCACTTTAATTAACAGGGGGGGCCGCTACACACATAAATTTGCAACAGTTTACCAAACGCCCAAGGTAACGAAGGATCAATTTAACCTCAATAATGCCAGTGCTTGAAATTGGAAACATTCCAACATTTTTTTAATGAGCCTAACAAGTTTCAACACATCAAGCTTTATTTGCATTGTATCCTGTAGCTGCCACCCCTTGTGTTCAAAATGGAACAAGCCATTGAGGAGATACTCTTACACTGAGGCACAATATGATGCTCAACTGGGTTTTACATAATAATCTAACTATTTATGTCACCATGAATAGAAAGCTACAGCACACACATATAAAGGTTTCATTTTGGTGGAGAGGCAGCTTCTTATTATTCGTATGCAAGGATATGGAGTACTGAAAAGATAGTGGTGGAACAGCAAGTACCCAATTTTGCTGTCCATGGGTTACGGGAGAATACGAATCTGACACGAAAAAAAATCATTAATTAAATTATTTAAACAGGGATTCTACAGAGTTTCAATCAAACAAGTGAATTTTAATCTGTGTGTGAGTAACTAGACCATAATGACATGTTGTTCACGCATGTATGGACTGTGGCAGGTGAGGGAAAGATAACGAATGATGTCACACAGGTATGCACAGAAAATTCAGCTTGGTCAAGATTTCTAAACTTAATTTCTGTACTTAACTTTGATGGCACATACTAATTACATTCAGCATCAAAGTCAAACAGAAAAATTATCATTTTTTTGCTTGTTATTCAAAAACAATGCGACAACAAATATAAGCAATTACAGTTTATGCTGATAAGTGAGCTGCTTGATTTTGAAGTAAGAATGGCAGGAGATTATAATAAAAATGAAAAATGTACTCATTTCCTATTTTTGATACCCCCATGGGTAAACAGCTGATCTCACATGTACACCTGTGACACCTTTTCTCTTGAAAACACTATCACAGGATGAAAACAAATTCTGTTTACATCCACATCGCACAAGGGTAAGGAAAGTCAACTTATAGATGGATAATATTTGGTCTATTTTATTATGGTATAAAACATCCACGGACATTGCCATACCAGCAAATACCACTGTAGTCATGACAACCAACTGCATATACACACACACACAGACGGCCGCCCGTTCGCCCGACGACAGAGCAACATTTTATGAATTATTGTATCATTCAATTTGTCCAGAATCTAATTAAAAACCACTAAATGCATGCACTGATGTTACCAGGACAGTAGAAATATGTCTCAAGAGACAAGAAATAGAAAACAAGATCAGTCATTTGCTAGGGTATTCACTGCATATACTGAATCACTTGCCTTGAAATTGAAACTACACAATGGACAAAACCTGAGGGTGTATCAATGAGTTCAAAAAATATAAAAGGA